AAAAAAAAAAACCCCCCCCCCCCCCCCCCCGCAAAAAAAAAATACAGACTGAATTCCAACTGAATGCTATTTCCTGGATATATGGACTCAGTGCTTCGTCAATTCCACCCATATCTGGTTACTATACAGCTTGGGTCAAGTCCCTCCTGTCTTGGGGGTTATTTCAACACAAATGACACAGCAGACATAAGGACCTGGACAGATGCACTTTTTGAAAGATGGGAGTATGCAAGCAAATTCTCACTTAGGTGCAGAGGCAGATGTCAGCCCCTTAAATGCCTTTGTCAAGCCAAATAAGAGAGAACCGCAATGCAAAGCTGATGGCAATATATTGTCAGGTCCTCATTATTGAAAACATTTTGATGTTTATGTGGGTTACTAATGAGGGTTAGACAATTGAGTTATATTGCTTCCAATTTCTTTTTTTTTTTACAATTTCTTAATTTAATTTTATGCAATTTACATAAGCTGATTAATAGCACTCTGTAAAAGTACATTATTATGTCCTGTATCTGGTTTATAAGCAACATATTAGGATCATATCAGTATTTCATATTGACTTGAAAGGGGAAAATTAAAAGAAATACCTAAATTTGATGTTTCCAAGTTATATTGTGCTTTCTTGTATGTTATAACATAAATATATGAGAAACTTTGATCAAAATCTAGCTCATTTAATGTGATTTTTATTAGCAATGGCAGCCATAAAGCATATCTTTCATGAGCCAGTATGTTTTTTGCCATTAATGGAAGAGAATCAGTGGGAATAAAAAAACTAAAAGCAAATTACTTCTACTTACTGAAGGCTTAGAACAACCCAATATTTGTTCTGATTTTGTGATAGTGCTTGTGAGGAAACTTCTATTAAACTGTCATTTTATCTGCATTAATGTATACAACATCAGTTATAAATCTGGGTTCAGAAATTGCTACTAATTAGCTCTGGCTGATATTGAAGTATTTTGTATGCCCCATTTATAAAAGCTGTTTGCCCATCTGTTAATAGGTTGGAAGCGATTAAGGGACACTTATTTTGGCTGTTGTAAAGGCCAAACAGTTTTCAAGCTGCAAATATATGACAAAACTAGCTAAAGGGTTGCCAAGTTCAGGACCCATTTTGCAAAGGAACTTTGATGCCTGCTTCTTCCATCCCAAGCCCAATATCATACACCAATCTGTAATATATAAAGGCAAATACCCCTGTCTTCTGCATAGGATAAGCTTGCCTACATTAATCATATGCGTTTCCCAGACAGGAGAAATATATTTTGATTTGACTGAACTCTATCAATCTAAGAAAAAATATTTCTACTTCCTGTATATTGATCTTGAAGCAGAAAGGCTATGTCGTTCCCTAATGCCTCAAGGACATTGACTCAAATGTCAGTCAGTAAGTGGTACAAGTTTTGAGGTCTCAGTTCAACCCCACAAAAAAAATGTGTTCATGTCAAAAATGCATCAAATAATTTGGGTAACTGCTGAATGAAATGACATACTGCGACAACAACACTGATACAACACTTTGCAGCCAGAACTTCAAAGTCCTGGGGTTTGGGCTGAGGCTGCAGGAGTCGAGATAATTCTGGCCTTGTCCATGCATGTAACTAAGTATCTGCATAGCATGTATGAGAAGAGCATTGCCAAAGCTCATTAAAGATAAAGACATGTGTATGTCAATTAATATCTATATTGTTGGCACCTATGGGCTTCCTCCAAATACCTAGCATTCTGGGCACCATGTAAATAATTGGGATCATACTTGAATATGAAAGAAGTAAAATGGAGTAATCTATCCCTTTCTCTCCTGCTTGGATTTGTGTATTCATTACAAACAGAGTGGAGATAGCAATGGCTACTTGCCCAACACTCCCTGCTGTGAGCAAGCCGGCAACAGTAGAGCGGGGCAGGAATGGGTGGGAAGAATCCTGGCTTTGTTCCCATTTGGCCAGGCTGCTTCATGAAACTGGTTCAAAATAAACTCATTCCTGCCACAAAGCAAATGACGAAATAGAATAAGGATTGTGATTCTCAATCTTATTTCATCCTCTGGTTTACTCTTGGGCTTAAATCCAAAAAGTTTCAGTTTCCTAACTCCCAGGGAAATCAATGTTAGTTAGGTACCTAATTCCCCTTTTTGGATTTGGCCCTTGGTGTGGGACAACTCACTTAGACAGACCATAAATTTGCTATGTGGTCCATAATGACCTGGACATGACCTGGACAGGCTCAGTGGTCCATGACCTGGACAGGCTCAGCAAATGGGCGGATGAGAACCTGATGGGGTTTAACACCAAAAAATGCAAGGTTCTCCACCTTGGGAAGAAAAACCTGCAGCATCCTTATAGGCTCGGCAGTGCTATGCTGGCTAGCACTATGGAAGAAAGAGACTTGGGGGTCATCATTGACCGCAAGATCAATATGAGCCTGCAATGTGATGCTGCGGCTAGTAAAGCAACCAAAATGCTGGCTTGCAACCATAGATGCTTCTCAAGCAAATTCCAGGATGTCCTTCTCCCCCTGTACTGGACCTTGGTGAGGCTGCAGCTGGAGTACTGCATCCATTTTTGGGCTCCACAATTCAAAAAGGATGTGGAGAAGTTTGAGAGAGTCCAGAGAAGAGCCACGCGCATGATCAGAGGTCAGGAAAGCAGACCTTATGATGACAGGCT